ATCATTCGGGCCCATCCAGTGTTCAATATTGCTGCCCTCAAGCTGTACCATGGCAATGAGATACCGGGCCGTACTCAGCCGGCACCTCCACCCCTAACCGATGCGGATGGCCATACGCGGTACATTGTCGAAAAGGTGTTGTCACACAAGAAGAGAGGACGGCGCACGCAGTACCTAGTGAAATGGAAGGGCTACCGAGATGCCACCTGGGAGCCGGAGGAATACTTGATGGATGAAGCAGGAAACGCTATTATTCCGCTGAAAACCTACCTGGACCGTTTTTCATAAAATTGCTATTTAATTGGCAGCCACAGTTGTATTGCTAGTTTCTACGTGTTGCAATAGAAAAGTAGCATTCTGCATGATTAGGATAGTGCTTCCCTGCCAGCCAGGCGTTATTTGCAGAGGACATGCACTGGATCTTGAGTTCATCAGTGTTGTTTTCGGCTACCATGCATTCCACATATCCATGCATGATCATTAGTTACCATAACTGTTCCTTCGAATTGGTACTGTTCTGACAGTTGAGAGGGGGGAATGGTGTAACAGATTCACTGTTACTACTAACACTAGGAATAGGATACACTTATCACCTGCTATTATCACGCTGCTGCTGTTAGGTGTTATGTCCATCATTGCTTGTTCATGTATAATATAAGAATGCATTATGGCAAGGATCATTGCTTATTCCAAGAATGACTACTGAAGTTAGTTGGACTGTTACAGCGAGCCTTCATATCCTTCAAGCCAGTCTCTGTAAACACCATCTCCAGTATGCTCAGACGTTTGAAAACGTGGAAGGCTACCGGCTCCGATGGGCTACCACCAGTCCTCCTGAAGAGTAACCATGAGTACATTACTAGTTCCCTCACTACTATCGTCAACGAGTCTCTTCAAAAAGGACAATTCCCCACGGGCTTCAAAGCAGCAGACATCTGTCCAGTGTTCAAGAAAGGAGATCGCACCCAGGCAGCCAATTACCGTCCGATATCCCTATTGCCTGTGGCATCGAAGATATTGGAGCGCGTTGTCTACGAACAGCTGCAGACATATATTCAATCTGAGCCTGACCTTTTACCGCCTCAACAATTTGCATACCGGCGTTCCCACTCCCGCGAGGATGCTCTCACCCTCTGTGTCGACCGTTGGCACAGGTGTCTAGATAAAGGCCAGTGCGTAGCAGCTGCATTCCTTGATCTAAGTAAAGCGTTTGACTGTGTAGATCACACACTTCTAGTCTCTGAACTATTTGATTGTGGCCTTGGAGACACAGTTCTTTCCTGGTTTCAGAGCTACCTGGCAGACCGAACCCAGAGAGTCGTAACTCCCCAGTCTTCCCCAGGTGAGCCATACCACTGCACCCGTGGCGTCCCACAAGGGTCCGTCCTGGGACCACTATTATTCACGATTTACACCCGCTCCCTTCCCTGCCATGTTAAGCAGTCGACCACGTTGCTGTATGCAGATGACACTACACTATACGCTGCCAATTCATGTGCAGAGCAAGCCGTAGTTACCTTGGAAAGAGACATTGCTCACGTTGCCTATTATCTCTCTGAGCGTGGTCTCAAGCTCAATACCGCAAAGACTCAGTACATACATATCCGTACTCCGACCACTCCGGCTAGCCGCCCCCTAATGCTCGACGGTATTAGTATTTCCTCAGCTTTGAGCGTAAAATACCTTGGCTTGGTCATTGATGAACATATATCCTTTAAACCACAAGTTGCAGCCCTCCGGAGGAAAGTTGGCGCCAAGCTAAGTACCATGTACAGAACACGTCGCCTCCTGACCACCCGAGCTAAACGTACATTCTACTTATCCTTCATACAATCCACTCTTGAGTATGCGAGTAATGCATATGTACACTGTCTTCGCACCACAGAATATGATAACCTGATCAAGATCAGTAAACGTGCATTACGGATTGTGTTTGGTTACCCCTCGTCCTCCCATTCAGCCCCAATTCTCGCACGCTTCTCTTTAATGCCAATTTCAGTCCGCTTCAGTTTAAAATTGTACTCAGTTGTTTTCTGTTGCGTCCTAGGCCAGACCAGTGTCCTTCTTCGAGACCTCTTTGTACTTCGCTCTTCAGCAGCTAACACTTTGCAATGTCGGACCCGCCTTCACTCCTCCAATGGTCTTGTTTTACCCCGAGTTTATTCACGCTACGGTCTGTTTTGAATTGTTTTCTCTCTCTTATTTGGCTGCAGACAGATGGAATAGTGCTCCATCTGATATCCGCACTGCTGCATCGCCATCCATATTTCGCCATGCATTACTTTCATTCTTAGGGTACCCCGTAAGAAGACCTTGAGTCTGTGGGGATTGCCCTATCAAAATAATGAATAAATAATAATAATAATAATATTAACTGGTTTTGAGGGAAAGAGACAAACGGGAAAAGTCTGAAGAAAAAATTGACTGCCACCACCAGGACTCGAACCAGGGACCCTCGCTTGTAGCCAGCGATGCTCTAACCGCTGAGCTATGGTGTAGTCGTCATCCAAGCAGAGACCGTTCAATGTTTTCTTCAGACTTCGTAACTCACACTTCCTGTGAATCCACACGAATAATAATAATAATAATTTTTAGGAAATTAGACTCTTATCACCAGTGGCAACTCACACCAACTCACAACTCACAGTATGATGCAAGCCAGATATGGATTGATCGAAGAAGGATAGATTTACCATCACTAGTTTCGGAGAGAAAAGAGCCGTACGTGGCATGTGGCCTCTAATTTCCTAAAAACTTTGAAATTCTCCGTGAAGTCCAAATTTGATTTTGCATTTAACTTGTATTTGCTCGCAGTGGACATAGTTTGATGCGCTCCCCATGATATCAAGCGAATGGCCGAGGGCCCTCTTGATTGGTGTGAGTTGCCAGTATGATGCAAGCCAGATATGGATTGATCGAAGAAGGATAGATTTACCATCACTGGTGATAAGAGTCATACTGTAGCTCAGTTGGTTAGAGCATTGCTCGCGAATAGCAAGGTCCCTGGTTCGAGTCCCAGTGGTGTGACTGATGATTTTTCTTTCTTTCATATCTGGCTTGCAAGTGTTGAGTTTCGGAGAGAAAAGAGCCGTACGTGGCATGTGGCCTCTAATTTCCTAAAAACTTTGAAATTCTCCGTGAAGTCCAAATTTGAAATTGCAAATAATAATAATACTATTCTGCATGTGTTTTGATTTGCATCATAAGCATGATAGCCGTGAAGCCAATGAATATTCCAAGGTTTTAATTTTACTGAAATGATCTACACTTTCTGCTTATGTCGAGCATATTTTGGCATATCTTGTTAAGCCGTTGGCATTATCATGGCCGTTTTCCCTGATATCAAGAGTGCATAAACAAGAGTATGCAACTGTGGTTATGCATGGGTCAGTGCGCAGCGCGCTAGCGCTGCCTTCATTACGTAACTTGCCTTCATCACGCTCTGGAAGCATGCATCCAAACTCTCAATTTCTCGCACGAGCCCATCCGTTTTTGCTCGATTCGTTCCAGTACCTACACAATCTCTGAATTCTGGCGCGTGAACTCCAGTTCCGTACGAAAGTTCATTTCAAACTGGAGGGAAAGTGCGGTGTTTGATTTTCCGCAGTGCGCGGACTGCAGCTGAATGATGTACAGTAGAGTCGCGCGACGGCAGCGCGCCGCGCATCTGGTCCATAGAAAAGAGATCACAGTGAGTTGCATACATGTACTCTTGTTTATGGACTCTTGCTGATATGCAGGGAGTTGTATAGCTATAGACCCGGGAGAGGACACGTCACAGATTTTCGTGGACAGGGTCCGACTCAAGCCCATAATATCAAGAGTGCATAAACAAGAGTATGCAACTGTGGTTATGGGTCAGTGCGTGGCGCGCTGCCTTCATTACGTAACTTGCCTTCATCACGCTCTGAAAGCATGCATTCAAACTCTCAATTTCTCGCACGAGCCCATCCGTTTTTGCTCGATTCGTTCCAGTACCTACACAATCTCTGAATTCTGGCGTGTGAACTTCAGTTCCGTACGAAAGTTCATTTCAAACTGGAGGGAAAGTGCGGTGTTTGATTTTCCGCAGTGCGCGGACTGCAGCTGAATGATGTAATGAAGGCAGCGCGCCGCGCATCTGGCCCATACTGGGCCATAGAAAAGAGATCACAGTTGCATACTCTTGTTTATGGACTCTTGATAATATCCGTGAGTTTTTTTCTTCAGCTGAGAACTGTCGACGACCTTGAATATTCTGTCGAGACGACGAAGGGAAAACGGCCCCACCGAGGTGGTCTCTTTCCCGTTTCGACCAGATCTTCGGCAGGTGTTAGTGTTAGAAAAGTGCACTATAGTTCGCCCAGGCTGATCGAAGTGGAAACATGGAAGTGAATGAAGCCGTACGCGAGAAAGAAAACAGGTAATGTCTTGGGTATTTTTGCGTCCGACAGTCGGTGTGACGGACGTGGTGCACTTCTTTGTCCCAACGTCGACCACTCTGTTCTTTCCAGGAACCCGACTTATGAACACAGTGGCACAACCTGGTCGGGCTCTTTTTCGTTTCTTTCCGTTTCTTCGAGGGTAAAAGAGGCATGAACATTTTCTATATCTATATAGGCATCATGAACGTGCCAGGAAGTCGTATGACTGGCTGTGACACCAATATATTTCTTATTATTTTGATTTCTGCAGCATACATGGCAAGAGGAAGTCCTGCCCCAGCACGGACAGGCCTCCAGCGAAGGTTCTATGTGAACGCAATGCCACGGCAGTGCAAATATTACCAGCAAGTATGTACTCACGATATCCACGTAACATAACATACATGTGTACAAACGCAGCCGCACACACACACACACACACACACACACACACACACACTTAATGCAAATCAATATAAACACGTGCGCGCTTATCCAAAAACATGAAGGCACGGGCGTGTAGGGGCATGTGACCACACACAGTGCATGCACGAGTATTGTAAGTATGAAGAGAGAAGTTCCACACCAGGACATAAACTGGTGATATAGAAATGAAAACGCTATGGAAGGTGGCGTTGTAGTGAAATCCATCGGCATACTGTTGCAAAGGTAAAGCAAACAAACGAAACAAACACACACATCACACAAGGCAGATTAGATAGATGAAGAGACACCGGAAAGCAAGTATTCTTCGCATTAATGTATTTTGCTTCCTTTGACTGTGTGCTATGCGTTTCACAGGCAGTGCAACCTGCTTTTGTGATAACTCCACGTGCACGCGCGCAGAAGGCGCAACCGGCACACAGGGTGGGTCTGTGCATCAGTGTATTTACCTTGTTTTGACTGTGGGCTATACGTTTCACCAAGAGTATATAACCCCCAAGAGTGTGCAACTCCAGCTGTGAGGTCTGCGACGGCAGAACTTCAAGTCACGCGATGAACCTGTACACATTATTTGCACTCTGTGCATGATTGATACAGGGTTGTACGAAACCCAGCTTTGGGTACAACTCTCTTGTGGTCACTTTGCACTGTTTGCCAGTGTAACCTTTTGAACCATGTCACGTGATGTGAAGTTCTGCCGTCGCAGCACTGCATAGAGGTTGTTCAGGCAGTTGCACACTCTTGGGGTTAAGAGTACATACTCCCCCCCCCCCCCCCCCAGGTGTGCAACTCGACTATGGGTGCTGTCCCAACAGAATTTCAACTTGACGTCATACAGAAGGCGCAACCAGCGCACAGGGTGGGTTTCATACATACAAGGATGTTGGAAAGCAATCTGTCAGTGTATCAGTGCATTTCACAGGCAGTGCAACCTGCACACAAGGTGGGTTTGATACATGCAAGGATGTTGAAAAACAATTCTTCGTGGCATTGACGTGTTTTTGCTTGTTTTGACTCTGTGCTCCATGCATTACAGGCAACGTAACCTGCGGTGACAATTCTGGGCAAGCATGTACAGAAGGTGAAAGCAACGCAACCAATGGACCGCCCTTGAACTGGAAAGGAATGGAAAAGCCGTCAGTGCGTGAAATCATTGCTACGCTACATTGGAATGCCTTCAACCTCACAACACATATCATGCACGACAACCAACATCACCTACCTACATCGATGCTTGCAACATCATCAACCAGGTTGTTTCATTTAGTGAGAGGGTGAGTCCCATGCAGATCCGGAGCTACCTGCTGCGAGCCAACCTGAAGGGAACACAAGTAGGAAAGTACCGTGGGAGAGTGCGTTGGTCCCGGTTTAAATCAATAATTAGCACGGTGGTTCAAATGTTTGGGAACTCTCTGAACCAGAAACAACTTGACTGGCCAACGGGAAAAGCCATTACAGACTTCATCAATGCAAAGATCCTGTCGTGGGGAAACCCTGAATCAACTAGCGAAATATGGAATTCAGCCAAACTAGTAGACGCGGCTAGTGCCAGGGATGGCTGGCGAGCCAAGGAATGCCACACACACGAAATCTCACTGAACTATTATGGGAAGTCAGACTTTCCATTACGCAGTGTGATCATCGATAGCTCCTCGTTTTCCTACACCGTTAAAGTCTTCCAAAGGACAGCAGGCCCGATCCCGGGTATGGCTGCGCCCCCAACAATCAATTCTTCAACGGCCCTGGACGCGGTTCTTTCTATACTGGAGTCCTGCAAAACATGTACAGGGTGCTCGTACAGCAAGTATTCGGAACTAGTGGATCAGCACAACGGAAGGTTTGTGGGCAAGGATGGCTCGCTCGTAGCTGCTCTGGACGAGACATGGGTGCCTGATCGCGGCATACGCACTGATGTATGCTTGCTCTTCGCGGATGCCAGTAGCAAACATCTAATGTGCGAGGCGTGCCGCCTTTTTGACGCCACTCTCCGCAAGTCGTTGTCACGACACCTTAACAGTGAAGAAGACCACAAGAACACTCCATTTGTCTGCCTGAGTCGGAATGAACTGATTTCCCGTCTCCGCATTAAGACCTCGAAAAGCCGTGGGCTCGAGAAAAAGATCGATCGCTCATGCGTAGCACGCGAAAAAATGGAAAAAATTTCTTTCAACGATGACTTAGCTGATATATTCAGAGGTCTTTCCTCAGGAATGGAACAAATACACGCCAGGGCCGATAACCCACAATGTAGATGGCATGGGTGTTCGTCAACATTTGAGGACATTGAAGACCTAATTGCACACGTAAACAGTGCACATGTACGTATTTCTGATGGCTCAACACAACTTCAACCACAGTATAAATGCAACTGGGACAGCTGTACCCACAGCATTTTTAAGAATCGAACAGCATTCAAAACGCATCTCAAACGGCACACTGGAACAGCGGAGGAGGCAAATCTGTCAGTGCTACTTCAAGATCAAGCCCGTGCACTGACAACCCCGCCGGAGCAGATGAGATGGCACCCGTCAGTGATGCGGTGGTGCTTGCGCCAGCATTCTCATTCCAAACATGGATATGAGACAATGAGAAGTGCTGGCTTCCTGAAGCTTCCATCTGGTCGCACCCTCATGCAATATCGGAACTTTCAACAGCCTAATGCTGGGTGGAATGCGTCCACGTTAAGTGCTATGAGACACGTGTTCAACCACTTCACCGATTCAAAGAAAGGCCCGAAAGACAGGAGTCACATTGGTGCCCTATTTTTTGACGAAGTGAAAATAAAAGAGGGGTTAGTTTGGGATTGTAAAACCAACGAAATAATTGGATTTGTGGAGCTAGATCAGAATGAGGAGAATGAGGAGCTACCAGACCAGTTGGCTACACACATCTTGCAGTTCAGCTTCAAGTCACTGTTTTCCAAATTTACCCATCCATGTGCATACTTTCTCACAAGGAATATCACTTACGGGCAGATTGACAAGCTGTTCTGGAAAGGCGTGAACAGTCTGGACGAGTACGGGTTCCAGGTGCTGATGGTGTGCTGCGATGGAGCAAGCGCAAACAGAAAATTCATGGAGATGAACATGAAAAGCAACAACCAGCCTATTGTAGTTAATCCGCTGACTCACAAGCCAATATTTTTCATGTCAGATCCGACACATTTAATTAAAAAACTTCGGAACAACCTGCTGAAGAGCGGCCGCCACCCAGCGTGCAAGCGGTTACTGAAATTCAAAGGAGAACTTATTTTGTGGAAACACATGAGGGATGTCTATGATCGGGATACTAGAAGACAACTCCGCTATACTCCGCTCCGGAAGGACCATCTAGAACTAACTTCACTAAGTCTGATGCGTAGCAAACTAGCCTTTGACGTCTTCAATCAGACAGTTGAAGATGACATAAAGAAATATTCACCAGATGGTACTACAAGCATCCGCCTATTCCTATCAGCCGTGAGAAGCATGATAACAATTTTTACATCCCACGACAAAGTTTCGGGCAAATGCCACAAGTTTGTTGGCGATTTGCAGAAGGTGTTGGTATTTTTTAAGGAATGGAAAGACTATGCAGACAGTTTACCATGTAAGCAGGAGAGGGCCAAATCCTTCCTCTCCTATCAGGTGTACCAGGATTTAAGAATAACATTAAATGGATTAATTTCTCTTCTAGACTACATGGAGAACGACCCGCAGATGCAACATATGAAGCTCTATGTGAAGCCGTATCGGCAGAACCAGGATTTCCTGGAAAATTACTTTGGTATCCAGAGAAGCAGCGGAGGGTGTGCCCAAAACATGACGGCACATCGCTATGGATATCAAGCTCTGGCTATACAACAAACACACGTGATTCCAGGAAACTTAGGCAATGCAGCAGTGAATATGCCACTAACACCTACGAGAAAGTAGTTGTATAGCCAGAGGCCGCACAAACTTACCCACGGTAGTAGGTATTGACTGATGTGATCTTTCACCAGCGAGTGCCTTGGCAATGTTTGTCAAAATGGCCAGTTTACTTGCATTCTTGGAGACTGGCACCTTCAGGTGGCGTGACAAGGCTGTCAGCTCCTTAGCAGTGAACCCACCAAGTACCTCCCTTCCTCTCGTGTCGTTGCATGCACCGATCATGTATTCCGCCACTGAACTGTATCGTTTCTCTTTCATATATTCTTTTAATAACACCGTCGTCTCGTCGGGTACGCTTTTGCTTGACCGCTGCTGTTTTTTTTGCCTTAACTCCGACCTTAGCGAGAGGGATTTCTTATCTGGCGCCAGGCTGTACTCAGATAGAAGCTGTTTTTGCTTGCTTTGCAGAAATTTCGTCACCATTGTGTCATATATGTCTTGAATTGAGGACGCTGTTGTACCAGTCTTGATGATGCTGCCGAATAGCGTAGAGATGGCAGAATCAGAGAGTAACTCTTGCTTCAGCCTCACAGCTGCATTCTCCCGGTTTTCCTTCAATAAGCAAGGGAAGCGTTCCTCTGCGACATCGTGCATGCGGGTGAACAGTGGCATGCATTCCTCCCGTAAAATAAATGTATGGTAGGCGTCGTCTCCCACTCCCAGCTCACCAGACCAATTCATGATGCCAGTGAATGCCTGCAGGCTTGGCTTGTGGGGACTGACCTTGTCTGAACCAAACACCGAGAGCTTGTCTAGCACTTCAGTGTCACTAGTAGACAGCGCTCTCCTGGTTGCCACAACACACCAGCCAGCATGGTACCTGATGACAGTTCGTGCCAGCTCATCTGCGGATGTATGGTCATTTGGCTTCGCTGAAGCCGGGGAGTGAACAGTGCTGTCTACGGACTGAGAGGTGCTAGATGATGGTGACGACGACGTTCTATCCAGGAAGAAATTCACCAACTTAACGTACACTCTGCTTGATGACTCGAATTCTGCAAGTGGGAACACAATAAGAGACAGATATGCACACATGGACTAATTTAGTCGGGAAGGGTAGGCAGAGTAGAGAAATCAATGCGAACTTTCGCATTTTTTAGTCGGAAAAGTAGTTGAAACACGAATCGCGGATTCATGTCAGGACAGTCGTAAATTTGCTACGCTGTACTGTCCAGGCGCGTGCTATGCGATGGGCACGGGGGGCACGTGCACCCCCCCCCAAATTTTCAATCTGGGTAATTGCAATTGTAATGTATGCAAATATGCTCTAAAATTCAAGAAAGGTTGCAAACAAATTGCAGAAAATTTCTGGGGGGGGGCTCCCCTCGGGCCCCGTGCACCCCCCCTAGTTGGGGGGCCGAGCACGCCCCTGCTGTCTATACACAATCATGTACATGTAAGACATGTCAACGTCATGCATGTGCGAATTCTGTTTGCAAACCCGGCTTTTATCCGCGACTTTACGGTATGGCAAATGAAAATGACGTTGAGAAGTTTATGACTTATAGGCGCTATATTACTATAGCCGCCAACATTATAGGCGATACATACTGTAGCTGGAAACTAAATCAGATTTTAAAAGATGCCACATGACGGACATTCCTGAAAGTGCCAGACCCTGTACAACTCCAGTATCCATAGTACTCACCAATGATATGTCTTGGGTCCTCCGCTTGTAGCTTCTGAAGGACACTGGACCACTCCGCTGCAATAGCCTCGACCTTGCCTAGCTTCAGCTGGTGCAGCGCTCGTCGATACTCCACTGCTGACTTGTTGTTCTTGGAAAGTGAGTTTATTTCACTCACAAGCTGGCATACAAACTTTCTCGTGGAGGCTTGCAATGCGATTTGTGATGGATCGGACAACACTCTTGAAAGCAAACCAGCAAGCGACGCTTCTCCTGGCTGGTATGCCTGTATATTTTCACGTTCACTATGCTCTAAAATCGAAAAGAAGGAAACAACAAAATAAGAGGTCACGTTTTCGAACAGCTCTCTCTTTCGTTTGTATCACATCAAGCTACACACCTTTCGCCCACGTCTGAACGTCTTGGCAACTCCCAGAGAGCTCCTGGACTTGTTCGAATACTGACAGATCACTATCATCACTGCCGTCGTCGTCAGAATCGGGGCATAGCACATTGATCTCATGGTCGGAACACGCCATGGTGGCCATGGGTGAAAGAAATACTAGAATGTTGTACAAAGACTACGATTAAACCGGCACGTTAACGTTCGGGCTCTCCACCTTCTCGAATTCTCCCTTCTCCGTGAAATACTACGAATCAGAAGAAATCGAAGTGGATGAAGTGAATGCAAGAGCACATGTGAAACTGAAAGAAACGACCTCGTGCATGCTGCGCTGCGCAGCTCAGCTGCATGCTTGACCTTTGCGCGCCTTTCTTCTGAATTTCCCGCGATATTTTGACTCAGCCTGCAAGGGATTTTCCCGTAGGTCGTGAGGCAGACCTCGTCCGAGCTTTGTGCGCCGTGTCCTCTCCCGGGTCTATACAACTCCCTGCTGATATGCGACGAGCCGAGCTGCGAGGCCTCCTTTAAGGCCCTCTTCAGACTAGGTACAAAACAGCCTATAAGTCACATTTACATAGAAGTTTCCAAGACAACTGCAAGTACGGCTGACATCCCAGGCTTCCTGTTTTTGTTTATTTGTTTTCTGACGTTTTCTGCTGGCTGAGCTCCTTGCTCTGTGTTTGGTCCGGAGCCACCCCCTGATTTAGGTACCATTGCCTTTGGGTTATCCGTCATAATAATAAAAAACAACAAGAATCTGGCGGGAAGCCTAAAAAGCTGCCCAATCCTTTCAGGCAGGATGCCAACCCTTGTACATGTACAAGGCAACTTTCCTGCATTTATCGTACTTTCACCAGGCAGTTGTACGAGCTTTGTACCCGGGTACGACTGTCCGCTGCTTTCACACATCCCAGGCCCATTGCGCAATTTCGTAGGGTCAAAGGTTGCCTGTATATTGCATGTAAAATGTGTAGTCTGAATGCAGGCATGGAAAAATGTTGCCTTTTAGGTTTTATGTGATTTTGTACTGGATTTTCTATGTACGTAGTCTGATGAGGGACGGAATACTCGATGACAGGTGATCTCTAAGTTGACCGGTTTCCTTCGATTCATTTGCTTATGCTCACCTTTCATTTACGGAAACGTGTGCTGATTTTATTCGGATTTAGATCCATTTTAATCTCTTTGCCCTTGTCTACAGTGTGCGAAGAACGCGAGTTCACCTTCTTGACGGTAAGGCTTATGTTAGATGTGTTGTCGAAATACTCATATTCATTGTACATTGGTACGTTACAAGTAAGGCACTGGTCAGTGGCATACTATCGTTGGCAGTTTCCAATCTGGAGGGAGAGGTTCAAGTACCAATTGACCGAGTTTGCAAAATAAATTCGCATATCAGGGGAAATCTCTATTGTGGAGAGGTTCAGTAACTTGTTTGTTTCATACGAAACAAGCCAATGGGTGCAGTCTCGTCTCGTGAAAATCTCGTACTTGTATAATTGGATTTGTTTACTCAAGTCTGGGCTGTTTGATTTGTGAGTACGGCCGAGATTGCACTGCCCCAAATAAAGTTTCGTGCCGCCAAAGCAAGAATTACGATCTGCAATCTGTTTGTAGTACCTGTAAGAATGTTGAGTACATGTATCGTACTTTCTCTGTTGCTATTTCAGTTGCCGTCATGTTGCTAAAGAAAGGTTCAGTAGAGAGGTTCTGCAAAACGAAAATTCGAACGACGTTTCGCGACAGTCCTTGCGAAAGTGTGTGCGAATTTTTGCACGAACTTTGCGTTCTGCACATTAGTCCATCAGCCAAGAACTCAGAAGTCGTCAAATTCAAGCACCCTGTTGCACTTAGAAATCAAATACTTGATTTTGGCCTCAATGGGGAGTTTAGGTACCCTGTACACCGAATCCGCAAATAAAAAGAGTAAACGACTTGCACGCTCTGCAGGGGGAAGCCGACAAAGTGACCATTTTTGGCATTTCATCGACAGCCATTGTTGTGACCTAAACCCAATCTTCAATCAGTGCCATGCGCGTTTCAGGAATGAACTTTCAGATTTTTGTGAATTACGGGAAATATCTTGCAAATCGAGAAG